ACCATGGGCGTTTCCCAGCGTGCTGGAATATCTAATTGTTGTGCCTGAACGGTTGTGTTTATAAGTGGCTTCATATAACATGCAGTGTGTCTATGGCTACGTCACTATCATGTCTCTAATATATCCATGGTATATAAATAATTTTTTTATTATTGTTGTTATTATCACAGTTACTTAGTAAATGCGGTGGGTAAGTTACAATCCGTTGAGAGCGCGTCCCAGGCCCGTGCTGGAGCCGCAGCACTGTACCTCCACACACGACAACCCAGCAGTTAGCGTACCTGAGATACCTGGAGCGTACCTGTTAGTACACCTGGAGCGTGCATGTATCTACACCCTCCTCACACAACACTCTCAGGTCGCTGTGGCACCACTGGCATTCCCTCCCACCCGCCATATTCCCTAATTCGATGGGTAATCTTTGCCCTCCAAAATTCGTCCGCCATTGACCCATTTCCACACCACCACTACTACACACACACCCAATCCCATGGATATGTATGTATACAAGGGGTGATTCTGATCCTGGTGGGGGGGGGTCAAGAGTTCTTAGTGATATATTCATATATTATACTGTATATCATGCGAACAAGCCTGAATGGTCCCCAGGACTATATGCGACTGAAAACTCACATATGTATGTTGTCACATAATTCCCCGTGTATAGCCGGGAAAACTGCCTCTTCACTCTCACCTTGGTGGCTGCCAGCCTACTCACGACACTACTACACTCCACACCACACTTACACTCATCATTAATACGTCCATGAAATTCACGACAAGTCTAGACGCTTGTGTAGCCCAGGGTACCTCAGGGTACCTCAGGGTACAGCCCGACGCAGGTATGGTTGTCAATGGGTAATTACCAGCGGCCTAATGATTGTTATTACCACTTACTAAACTGAGGAATTGGTTTGCCCGTTTCGGCCGGTTGGGGGCGGGTGTGTCTCTGCTCGCCTGTGCTGACATGGCGTTACGATGGGGGTCCCTCTACCCCCAGTCGTCCGGGCTCAGTCTGTGGGACTAGAGTTCTCTGTGCGGGCTGGTTACCCGGAGATTGCCCTGGCGTGTGAAATGCTCTCTGTCCCTGTGTTTGCGATTTATGGGGTCGAGTTGGTAACGGCCCGTAGGGCAATTGTGAAGTTTGTAGAGGAGGTGGCGTATCGCGATTTTCTCCGGCGATACGAGGGGCGGACTCTGCCCCTGCCGGATGGTGCGGGCACTGTCACCCTCTCGGATAGAAGTGGTGCACTTACTTACATCAGTGTGCATGGGGCTCCCTTGGAGTTTCCAGAGGCTCTGCTACGGCGGTATTTCGGGCGGTTTGGCGCAGTTGTTAGTGTGAGAGTGAACGTGGTGTCTTCTAGTCCTCTTAAGGGTGTGAGGTCTAACATTCGCACCCTGGGCATGAGACTCCGGGCGGATATTCCGTCCTCTGTGCGCCTTATGGGGTACAACGTTCGGGTGTTTTACGCCCGTCAGCCGCGGACGTGTTATCGTTGTGGTCTTTTGGGCCATCAGGCTGCTGACTGTTCTGCGCCTCCTGTTGCACCAGTGAATCTCTTCAGTGAGGAGGATTTTCCGCCCCTTCCTGTGGGGGATGATTCGGTGGGTATGGACGTCTCTTCGGCTGAGGAGGTGCCCTCTGTAGCAGCTGTTGCTCCGCCTGTTGCGCCCCCTGTTGTTGCCGCATCTCCTCCGGAGGTTGGGCCCTCGCCTAGTGCTCCGGCTGGTGTCCCTGAGCCTCTTCCCTCTGCCGTTTGCTCGGACCTCTCGTCTTCCAGTTCTTCCTCTGCTGTGTCTGTCCCGGTCCCTACGCCCTCGCCGTCTGTTCCGGCTGTGCTGGGAGCTGAGGTGGTTCCGGCATTCCCTCCTGTGCCTGGCCTGGTGCCCCGTGTGGTTGAGGAGGCTGCCGTGCTGCGGCGTGCGTCGGTTCGCTCGGTTGGTGCTGCGCGGGTCGCTGAGTCTGCCTCCGGGTCTGATGATGTGCGGCCCGAGCCTAAGCGTTCCCGGCGTTCTTCTGCGTGGGCTGATGTTGGCGAATTCGACGAGTGTCGTCCTTCCGTTGACGGTGGGGTGGCTCCGGATGTGGTGCACACTACGGTGGTGGCGGAGGTACACTTGCCTGAGGATGCCGGTGCCGGCGTTTCGGCCTCAACCTCTGGTCCAGTGTCCGAGGGTCCTGCTTCAGGTGCGTTGCCTGTGTCGGATGGCTCCGGTTCTTCGTGGGCGGTGGTTACCCCTGCTGTAGTTGGTGGTGAGCGGGGTGGCCTGGTAGTGATGTTGAGAAAGGATGCTCGCTCTGGATGTTCTGTGGCCCCTTCCTCGTTACCCGTTTCCTCGGCAGCGGTCTTGCCGCCTGTTCCGTTTCCTGCAGTCCCTTCCGTGTCTCCTGCGGTATCCGTGGAAGTGCTATCGTCTCAGCGTCCGACACCTGCTCCGATGACGAAGGCGTGGCAGGCTCGGCGACCCTCGTCCGCTTCTCCGGTGTCATCTGCTTCCTCGAAGGGCGTGGTTGGCGCTCCCCAGCCTCGTTATGCGACTTGCGTCAGTGACCTTAGGCATTGGCCGATGCCGCCAGATATAGATGTTCCCGAGTTTATGATACCCGCTCGAGCGCGGGGGGTCGAAAACCCTACCGACCTTGAAGATCTAGTCTGGGAAGCTTACAAGGCGAAATATCCTCATGATCTTTTCCCGGAGAAGTACATTTCTCACGAGGTTCCTCGCAAGTGATTTCTATGTATTTTGTGTTGCCTGGTTGTGGGGTGTGTATGTGAGTGGGTGGGGTGGGTATTGTTTCCCGGTTCCTGCGTGCTCCGGTTTGTATTGTGGGTTTTCTTGTATGGCTAGTGGGGGGGTGTGCGGTTCCTGTGCGTTTGTGTGTTCGGTTGTGGATGTCGTGTGCGCTTGCTTGTCATATTGTGTGCCCTTCAGGCTGTTGGGGTGTGCTCTTTGTTATGTGTGCATTATGTGTTTGAGGTGTTAGCAGACTTGTTTTGTATGTTTCTCGCCTCTATGCTTCCCTTATGTTTGTATTACGCTGTGTTTATATTTGTGTTATGTTTGTATATGCATTTTTTGCTTTGTGGTCAGCCCTTCTGGCTGGTCGTCTTCTTGATTTGTTCCTTTGTCATTGTTCATGTGTGTGCTTTGTTCTTTTGTTCTATGTTATATTTGTTCTGTTTTTATTGTACATTATACGCATGCTTGCATGTAAAAATAAAAAACAAAAACAAAAAAAAACTTACTAAACTGCCGGTGACCTGTTCCAGTCGCTGTTGACAAAGGATGTGACGTCACCCACAGGAGTACAAGTACACCGGCTCAACCCCGACAACTCTACCCTAGAGTTACAGCACCCCCCCCCCCCCCCGCTCCTGTGCCTTCTACTGTGCCTGTGTATTCTACCACGGGCTCACCATAGCCCGTGCTACTTACAACTTTGTGCTCCCAGTAGCTGGATCTAAAACCACAACAACCCGACACCTTGAGTGTGTCACGGGGTGCTCTAGTACAAGGACATTACAGCCTCACACGACACTAGTTGCTGCCAGAAGCTTCGTGTCCAGGTGGTCGTGTTGTTATCGTGTAATTATTCAGTCACATGTTTTATTCTCTTAGTGTTAACGTAATCTTACATGTATTATTCTTGCTACTGTGTATCAGCCAAGAGGTGTAAGTCGGGGGGGGGGGTTGTAATTCAGCTGTTATTTATCTTTATTGTAGACTAAATTTGTTATATATTTTGTTATTATATGTTTTTGCATATATTTATGTGTGTATATACCTAGTTGATGGGGTTCTGGGAGTTGTTCAACTCCCCAAGCCCGGCCCCAGGCCAGGCACGACTTGTGAGAGTTTGGTCCACCGGGCTGTTGCTTGGAGCGGCCCGCAGGACCACATACCCACCACAGCCCGGTTGATAAATATAAACTCGTGTGATATTCTAAGGCCACAATCGCCTGTTAATTAAACAAAGACATAATATTTACATATTCCTGGTGACGGTAGAAGGTGATGAGGCCACCCCGGAGGGTGCCCGAGGTGGCCCCTGGGACCTGCCCCGCCCACCATGAAACAATATTTTGGCGCGTGAGAAACTGAACAGTGACTCCTGGCGCCAACTGGCATTTCCTGCACAAGTTTTACCACCAGAGACAACACGGTGCACACACACACACACACACACACACACAGAGCCGGTGGCCAAGCGGACAGCACGCTGGACACGTGGTCCCGGGTTCGATCCCGGGCGCCGGGGAGAAACGATGGGCAGAGTTTCTTTCACCCTATGCTCCCTGTTACCTAGCAGTAAATAGATACCTGGGAGTTAGTCAGCTGCCACTTGCTGCTTCCCGGTGTGTGTGGTGTGGAAAAAAATAGTAGTAGAAACAGTTGATTGACAGTTGAGAGGGGGCCAAAAGAGCAGAGCTCAACCCCCGCAAGCACAACTAGGTAAATACACACTGGCTCTATTCTATTCACTGTACTGCCTCTATTTCAGCACTCTCTCTTACTGATCTGAAGGGGGAAGTGAGTACTGAGCAGTACTCAAGACGGGACAACACAAGTGATTTGAATAGTACAACTATTCAAGCAGGTAACTATTCTAACTAGTACAACTATACTAGTAAATGGGCAGAGTTTCTTTCACCCTGGTGCCCCTGTTCACCTAGCAGTAAATAGGTACCTGGGAGTTAGCTGCTACGGGCTGCTTAATAGGGATGTGTGCGTGGGTGTGTTAGAGATAAATATATGTAGTAGGCATAATAGAGGAAAAACAAATTAGAAAGGCGAGGTCCAAGAGCTAATATCTCGATTCTGCAGGTACAAATAGTAAATAGTCACACCATAGAGGGGGAACAATAACAAACTCCAAAGTATAGTTGATAAGAGACATGAAGGTCTATAATCATTGCTCCTCATAAAAGGCAGCAGGAAAGGCGGCGTCCAAGAGCTGAAAGTCGGCACCTTAGGTACAAATAGTTGAGGAGAATTCAGACCACTACGCCTTCACTGACTACTTTTCCCACCCACTGTAGGCCCGCTACAGTAGCTTTAGTGGGCGTGGTCTGGTCCTGGGTGGCGAGGGTGGGCGTGGTCTGGTGCTGGGTGGCGAGGGTGGGCGTGGTCTGGTGCTGGGTGGCGAGGGTGGGCGTGGTCTGGTCCTGGGTGGCGAGGGTGGGCGTGGTCTGGTGCTGGGTGGCGAGGGTGGGCGTGGTCTGGTGCTGGGTGGCGAGGGTGGGCGTGGTCTGGTCCTGGGTGGCGAGGGTGGGCGTGGTCTGGTGCTGGGTGGCGAGGGTGGGCGTGGTCTGGTCCTGGGTGGCGAGGGTGGGCGTGGTCTGGTGCTGGGTGGCGAGGGTGGGCGTGGTCTGGTGCTGGGTGGCGAGGGTGGGCGTGGTCTGGTGCTGGGTGGCGAGGGTGGGCGTGGTCTGGTCCTGGGTGGCGAGGGTGGGCGTGGTCTGGTCCTGGGTGGCGAGGGTGGGCGTGGTCTGGTGCTGGGTGGCGAGGGTGGGCGTGGTCTGGTCCTGGGTGGCGAGGGTGGGCGTGGTCTGGTGCTGGGTGGCGAGGGTGGGCGTGGTCTGGTGCTGGGTGGCGAGGGTGGGCGTGGTCTGGTGCTGGGTGGCGAGGGTGGGCGTGGTCTGGTAACATACACCACAGGTAACATACATCACAGGTAACACAACCACAAGTTATAAATACAGCCAAACATTTGCCTGAAAATTAAAATTGTTACAACGTAAAATTTAGGTCCAAGTTTACCAGGATTAAAAAATATATATTCACATCTGCCTTGAACACAGAGGTAAGGAGTCCCGGGCACTACTGGGGACCCACTGGTATGCCGCCCCTCCACAAGTGTCACGGAGCCACGCACACGGGGGCACGGAGCCACGCACACGGGGGCACGGAGGTTGTAACATCCATGACCCCCCTCCCCCCCTCGAGAGTTGCCATCCAGGGGTCAGCCCAGGTGACCTCTGGAGCGTCTTGTAGAGTTAATTGAAATATATCCTGGCAATACCCTAGTCAGCTTATTTCAAATAGACTATATTAACCACGATAGTCTTAGTCAACCTTAATGAGAACAATTCCTGAAGTGTTTCCTCACGTGGGGGACAGACCTCCTACAAGCTCCACTGCTAGGTGGATTAGCAACAGCTAAACCCCGTCTTCCCCGGGCATGTATGGCATGTATATGCCCTGTTGGACAGTTGAGAGTTAGTGCCGGGTGCGAGGCATCAGAGTGGAGCAGAGATCATCACGCGACCAGAGGGAGAGGCAGGGAATCCACCCGGGGTGTCGACGAGCAAGATCCAGAAGGTAATGTGTGTGATCTTTAACATTAATCCATGTAAAGATTTCTTAATAATTGCCAGTGTTAGGGTAGAGACTTAGAGTTTCGTGAACATCATAATTTTGTCCTAATAAACTCTTGTTAAATTTGTCATCTAAATGTCACTTGCCCCCCCCCCCCCCCCGACCCCCTTCAAAGTGTTCAAGAGAGAACTTGTTAAGCATCTCCAAATGATATCTGATCAACCAGGCTGTGACTCATACGTCAGGCTGCGAGCAGCTGCGTCCAACAGCCTGGTTGACCAGTCCAACAACTACGAGGCCTGGTCGACGACCGGGCCGCGGGGACACTAAGCCCCGAAATCATCTCAAGGTAACCCCCCCCCCCCCTTCGTGTCTTCTCCAAGGATGTCCTCGGGGACATGTGCACTATCTAAAAGGTCTCCAGCATCATGTTGTTAACCTACGGTCATTAAGTAATTACATTCAACAGATTACTCTGTCAATTCAGTAATGGTTCCTGTTTCTACTTTTTTTTTTTGGATGGATATTCGTGCGCGGGCCTAAGCCTCTGGCCCACTAAGTGTCATTACTGTATATGATTTAATATTCAGGATGACAGGATGGTGGCAGCAGTAAACACTAAGTTTCTCTGTGTTAAGCATTTCCTCGGAAAAGTTCCATGGGTTCAGGGCATAAACATCAGTGTTGCACAACATTTCAGTTCATATTACACTGAATATTTCGAGTGTTTCAAAATACTAGTGTAACCAAGTGCTACCAACAGGTGTTACTCGGATAGATCAGTCAAAGGGATAGTTAAATCTAGTGTAACAGAGGGCCCGGAGCCACGGAGTGACGCACAGAGGGCCCGGAGCCACGGAGTGACGCACAGAGGGCCCGGAGCCACGGAGTGACGCACAGAGGGCCCGGAGCCACGGAGTGACGCACAGAGGGCCCGGAACCACGGAGTGACGCACAGAGGGCCCGGAACCACGGAGTGACGCACAGAGGGCCCGGAGCCACGGAGTGACGCACAGAGGGCCCGGAGCCACGGAGTGACGCACAGAGGGCCCGGAGCCACCGAGTGACGCACAGAGGGCCCGGAGCCACGGAGTGACGCACAGAGGGCCCGGAGCCACGGAGTGACGCACAGAGGGCCCGGAGCCACGGAGTGACGCACAGAGGGCCCGGAACCACGGAGTGACGCACAGAGGGCCCGGAGCCACGGAGTGACGCACAGAGGGCCCGGAGCCACGGAGTGACGCACAGAGGGCCCGGAGCCACGGAGTGACGCACAGAGGGCCCGGAGCCACGGAGTGACGCACAGAGGGCCCGGAGCCACCGAGTGACGCACAGAGGGCCCGGAGCCACGGAGTGACGCACAGAGGGCCCGGAGCCACGGAGTGACGCACAGAGGGCCCGGAGCCACCGAGTGACGCACAGAGGGCCCGGAGCCACGGAGTGACGCACAGAGGGCCCGGAGCCACGGAGTGACGCACAGAGGGCCCGGAGCCACGGAGTGACGCACAGAGGGCCCGGAGCCACGGAGTGACGCACAGAGGGCCCGGAGCCACGGAGTGACGCACAGAGGGCCCGGAGCCACGGAGTGACGCACAGAGGGCCCGGAGCCACGGAGTGACGCACACACGGCACGGAACCACTGAACGACGCACACACGGCACGGAGCCACGGAGTGACGCACAGAGGGCCCGGAACCACTGAACGACGCACACACGGCACGGAGCCACGGAGTGACGCACAGAGGGCCCGGAACCACTGAACGACGCACACACGGCACGGAGCCACGGAGTGACGCACAGAGGGCCCGGAACCACTGAACGACGCACACACGGCACGGAGCCACGGAGTGACGCACAGAGGGCCCGGAACCACTGAACGACGCACACACGGCACGGAACCGCGGAGTGACGCACAGAGGGCCCGGAACCACTGAACGACGCACACACGGCACGGAACCGCGGAGTGACGCACACAAAACCGGGAGCCACGGAGTGACTGTGAGTGACGCACACAAGGAAGAAGTGAAGAGTGAGGTGCGCGGAGTGAACACAGGGAGACAAGGCGGGCACTGGGCAGGTGAGGAAGCTGCCTAACTTCAGTGTGCCACCAACACCACAACCACCACACTGGGACCTGGCCAACTGTCCCCACCCCCCCATTCTTAGCCCTTCTATCAACCTACCTCCCCCCCCCCCACACACGTGCGCGTGCACACACACACACACACACACACACACACACACACACACACACACACACACACACACACACACACACACACATATATAAACGTTCGCACTCATCCGCACATGCAGTTGTTCACATGTAGGAATGATCACCACATACAAAATCCTCTGATGGCTAAACAGTGAACAAGGACCAGCAGACTAGAATTGGATGCAGACTCCAAACACAGCTTTAAATGTGGACATGGCTGAACCAAAGGGCCAGACACCTGTATATCAGTAGCCTGAAGGTCGAGAGGTGGAACTGAAGAGCTGAAGTTGGGCTCCCGCAAGCACAAGTAGGCGACCTCACACTGCCGCGCGCTCTCGCCCCCTCTCCCCCCTCCCCCCTCCCCAGCTGGCCAACACACACAAGCAGGAATATAACATTGTCACCATTCAACAAGTTTACACAAGTATCAAATCCAAGCCTAGCCAACATGGTCTGGTCAAGCCTAGTCTACCTGGCCTAGCCAACATGGCTTGGCTAAGTTGTTAGTGTTGTTAAGATTCAGTTACTGGGAACAAAACGTTGCAATCAGCACGGGCTATGGTGAGCCCGTCGTCCTCACCTGGCAGAGGAGATGTGCGCCTGGCGAAGCCTAGCAGGGCCTTGCAGTGCTCTACTAAGCCTGGCCCTGCTTGGTGACTCCAAAGCTTACCTGGCACAACACCTGGTCAAGTGTATCATGTTTTACGTGACGACACACAACAGGAGTGGAGTCATCACGGCTGGTCTCCTACCTGTGGGCGCGGGGCCTCCACTCCCTTGGAGGAGCACCTTCACGAGAACGGCGACAGACAGCCATTATCACACCACATCCCCACAACCTTACCTGCAAGTCAAGAAAACAAATGTCAGAATAATTATAAACTGAAAGCAATTACAGTAATAATAGTAATAATAATGATTAAATAATAACAGCAACAATAATACTAGGGCAGTCGGTAGTGCATGCGTCTGGGGAGTCCAGGAATGGGAGTTCGATACCATTTCATTGCCTCAATATTATCTTATAGATACATCCTTTTTCAGTTATTCATTGTGCATCATCATCAGAATAATAATGACTAATATAAAATTATACATGCAGCACTTTAGAAAGTAGAATACACGCACGCACACACATAATAAACACACACACAAACACGGAGTTTGTCCCAGAGTTACGAGGGATGGGATATGAAGAGCGTCTGAAGGAACTGAACCTTACGACACTAGAAAGAAGAAGGGAGAGAGGAGATATGATTGGGACATAAAATACTCAGGGGAATTGACAAAGTGGAAAAAGATGAAATGTTCACACGTAATAATAACAGAACGAGGGGACATGGGTGGAAACTGGAAACTCAGATGAGTCACAGAGATGTTAGGAAGTTTTCTTTTAGCGTGAGAGTAGTGGAAAAAATGGAATGCACTTGGGGAACAGGTTGTGGAAGCAAACTCTCTTCATAATTTTAAAATTAGGTATGATAGGGAAATAGGACAGGAGTCATTGCTGTAAACAACCGATGGCTGGAAAGGCGGGATCCAAGAGTCAATGCTCGATCCTGCAAGAACAAATAGGTGAGTACAAATAGGCGAGTACACACACACACACCACCTACAAAATTATCAGAGGAATTGATAGGGTAGATAAGGATAAACTATTTAACACGGGTGGTACGCGAGCAAGGGGACACAGGTGGAAACTGAGTACCCAAATGAGCCACAGAGACGTTAGAAAGAACTTTTTCAGTGTCAGAGTAGTTAAAAGGTGGAATGTATTAGGCAATGATGTGGTGCAGGCAGACTCCATACACAGTTTCAGATGTAGATAGGATAGAGTCCAGTAGGCTCAGGAATCTGTACACCAGTTGAGAGGCGGAACCAAAGAGCCGAAGCTCAATCCCCGCAAATACAACTAGGTGAGTACGCACACACATTATATAATATATACACGTCGGCATAAAGCACCCCAGCGACTATGAACATGATACAGGTGATTATGACCAGGTGAAGGTGATGCAGAACGACATCGTCTTCTAAATTCAAGTTTCAGTTGGCTAGCAGCCTGATGACGGAGCTGGCACAGGGCCACCTCCGTCACCATCACCACCAGGACGTCATCACCATGAATAGGACG